ACTCTTTCTTTCTTATCACATCTCTTTACGTTATGTCATCACATTCTTTCTTTCATGTCACATCTATGTGTTTCATTACCATGCTTTTTGTGTCTTGTTGCATCTCTTCACATTCTTTATCATCCTCTTTTTCTCTCGTTTTCACATCTTCTTTTGTAGTCACAACATTATGTGTTTCACCACTACCATGTTTTTTCCAAACTACCAAACTATTAATATTTAAACAATAACAACAGAAAATACAAAAAAGGAAAGTAGAGAAAAAATAGTTTACTTGAATGAGAGAGAATGAGGAGGATGAAGAAAAGAAAATAGAACAAAAAATAAGAGTTTGGAACACGGGATTGCGTTTTTGATAAACTCTTGTTTTTTGATATAAAAGTTTAAAGCATTTTTTATGTCTAATATTGTTTCACCCATTATAAAAAGACTCAAATTAAGATTTAAATATATTTTTAGTCTTTGCAGAATTAACTAATTTTAATTTCGATCTTTATAAAAAGATCTTTATTTTTTATCCCTCTAAATTTGAAACCATTATTTTTAAATTTGTATATGATTATTTAAAAAATTAAGTGAACATCTTAGATATTACTTACAACAAATGTTAATGATATCATATTAATCTTTAACACTTCTAAAAATTTATATAAATCCTTAAAATAATCATCATTTATTTACTTCAAAATAATTCTTAAAGATAAAAAATAGTCACTTTAAATTTTAGAAAAATGAAAATGAAAGAAAAATATTTTGCAATGATGAAAACTAAAATTTAATCATTCCACAAGAATCAAAATGTTTATAAATTTTAAAAAGAGAATTTTATTTACAGAAACTAAATTAAAACCCATTTATTCTTCAAAAATTAAAAGCATGTTTAAGACTAATACTAATAAGCGCATGTAAGATGTGTTGAATCCCACAACTTATCTATTGGAGTAGAACATCGATATTAATACTTGCATATTAATCATTCAAAGTGAATTAGCCAAGGTATTTTTTAATAAATAAAAAGGTTTATATTAAACTAATAAGTAATGATGGAAATAGGGAAATAGCATTAGAAAAGTGTGGTAACGTGGCATTTAATATTTAAGAAAGAAAAGTGGCACACACAGACACAGTGACAGAGTCACAAGTCACAAGGCACAAGGCACAAGGCACAAGGCACAGCACAGCACAGCGTTTATCTCTCTCATTTTGTAGTACAGTATGAAAGCAGTTGTTGTGATTGTGATGCTCCTGTGCTCCTCCAGCATTGTGACATCCCTGAGAGCCCCTGAGCCAGAGCCAGAGCCTCCATCTCCAGCGCCAACATCCTCCCCATCGACACTTGACCCAAAGCAAGTGATAGCCCTAGAATCCCTAGACATCCCCACAGCGAGGGACCCCTGCGGCCAACCCTCATTCCACAATGCCACCCTCTGCGACAACGCAAAGCCCTTCCGCCACCTAATATCCCTCCGCCTCGCCAACTGCTCATCCTACCTCTCCCTCTCCTTCACCGCCCTCAAGGCCCTCTCCACCCTCCGCTCCCTCACCCTCCTCAACTGCCCCGCCGCCCCCACCCACCTCCCGCCGCAGCTGGCCACCTCCCTCACCTCCTTCACCTGCGTCAACAGCCTCCGCAAGGTCTCCGGCGTCTGGCTCTCCCAGCTCCAAAACCTAACCCACCTAACCGTCTCCGACGTCCAAGTGAAAGCCTCCGGCCCCTTCGTCATCCTGGCTCACATGTCCAAACTCACCTCCCTCACCATCTCCAATGCCAACCTCACCGGATCCCTCCCCGGCCACCTCCACTCCAACCTCACACACATCGATTTCTCCCTAAACCACCTCAAAGGTTCCATTCCCCCTTCCATCACCATGCTCCTAAACCTCCAAACCCTAAACCTCTCCTCCAATGCCCTCTCCGGCCAGATACCTCCCTCCATTGGAGACCTTATTTCCCTCCAAAACCTCTCCCTCGCTTCCAACTCCTTCTCCGGCTCCATCCCCGATTCCCTATCCGCTCTACCAGATTTACTTCACATGGATCTCAGCTCCAACCAGCTCAACGGCTCCATCCCTAAGTTCATTTCCCAAATCAAATCCCTCAGCTACTTGAATCTCGCTAACAACAACCTTCGCGGCGTTCTTCCCTTCAACCTCTCCTTTATCAACCGCTTGCAAGTCTTCAAGGTCGCTGGGAACAGCAACCTCTGTTATAACCGTTCCGTCCTGTCTTCCAAGTTGAAGCTTCGGATCTCTCCTTGCGATAAGTTCGGAATGCCGGTGTCTCCGCCGGCGAAGGATTCCTCCGCCGATGATACCACTGACGACGATTACGATGAAACGGACGACGAGGGGAGTAGGCACAAGAAGGACCATCATCACGGACCTAACAAGTTCGTTCTCGGTGTCGCCATTGCGCTCTCTTCCATCGTCTTTCTCATTGTTTTCTTGATCTTGTGTTCCAAATGTTGTCGTTAGAGCAAATTTTGGTTTGGTTTCCGGGTTTTAGATTAGGAAAATTCATCCATTCGGTCCAGTGCTTGTTTCATATATTTATTATTATTATTATTATTATTATTATACAGTGGTTACACCATTACAAGGTAGGCTTCAGAGGGAGAGGAAACAAAATGAAAATGTAACTGCCGAAACAAAATTCGAAAATAGAAGAAAAAAAAAAATTGTTAAATTTTGGTGAGGGGATATCTGTTAAAGGTGCAGTGTGGGAGGAGAGGAAAATGAGGAACAATTGCTTGTGCAATGCAATGGCTAGGTTTTAACACCGTATTATTCGTTGTTTGGAGTAAAAGGTGGATGTGGATGTGGTTTCTTGAACATGTATGTTACTTGGACTACAAGCGTTTGTTTTTCACACTTATTATTCATAACGCTTTTCTCCTCACTTTCCTTTTCAATTCATTTGTTTCTTTCACTGTTGCATTCATTAATTGTCTGCCTTTTTACTTGCTTAGCTGGGGAAATTGTGTTTATTTGCTTTCTAGATTCTTGGTTTGTTCATACTTCATATACATGGAATTCACTTCACCGTAGAAGTTGGAGGCCAAATTTTGTGAACATTAAGCTAAATAGCTGGATGGTATGATGATACTTATTTCAGGTTCTTTTACATGTGGCTAAAATGGTGATGCACTATTATTTGTGGGCACAAGTTGAGGAGAAAAATTTGTTTAGCTTGACTAGGTCTCTAGGAGAAAAGGACAGCAGTTCAAGTAGATAATGGTTGATGGTATGATTTGCAAACTGGAAAATAGTGTTGTATGATTGTGAATATCTGGCTTTGGTCCAATTTTTTTGGCATGCGTTACTGTTGAATGGTTGGATGTGAGCTGTCTGTCCTACTTGATTTCCACACACATTCCAAACTGGAAAATAGTATTGTATGCCAAGTACTAAAATAATGGACTGCTAATATTTATCCATTATTCATTATATGCCAGCTTCGGATTTTTTTCACCATAGGCTGTGTGATTCTCCTACAATCTACGTGTCATAAGTGATTAGTTTTGTGAGCTCCGGGAGTTGAATGTAAAGTCACAAACTTGTGTTACTGACCTCCTGGACTTGATTGTAAATATAATTGTTTGGAGAAGATTGCTTTGTAAATTATTTGGTGACCTCCTACGTTACCTCTGATTTACTTTTATAATTATTTTTTTCCTAAGGTTTAATTATTTTTTAATATTTTCATTTTTTTCACAATCAAATAACATCAAAAATTCTCACAATCAAATAACATCAAAAATAAAAATATTATTCAATTAACGCTATTAATTGTTACATATTTGGATAGTTTTTATCTTTTATATTTTAAAAAATAAAGGTCGCGTAGATTTTGTGAATCAAATGACATTAAAGATAATATAGACTACTCAATTAATATTATACATTATTTTTTTCTAAAAATTTTGTTATGAAAAAACAATTTAATTATGAAAAGTAATGCAAATGTATAAATATGTACAAGCACAAGAAGCGGTAACACTCCTTGAATTTTTATTATTTTTTTACTTGATACTACTAACTTGAAACAATAAAGCAAATGAAAAGAGTAGCTCGTCTACTATGCCACCAATGTAAAACTCAATCTTTTGAGTTTATGTTCTCACATTAAAAGGTTTGAAAAGAAAACTATGAAACCTAAAACTAACATGTGTATTGTTTGAGAAGTACAAATCTCCACAACATTTATTGAAATCCCGAACTTCAACATTTTTTTAACGTTTTGACTAACAAAATGAAATTAAAAAAAAAAGAGCATATTACTTGGAGTTAAGCGGCTACTTCTCACGGTTCTCATTAAGAAAAAAAAAAACTTTCATACAAAAAGTAATAGACATTTATATGATCATGTAAAGTAAAAATAGAATCAAAATTGCACAAAATAATAGACCTGCGATTTCATGGTTGTCCACCCAGAAAAAAAAAAAAAAAAGAGACTTTTGTAGGCTTGGGTGATAGTTATAATATTGTTCTGTTGCTCAATGACTTTCTAAGAAGTTCCTGTAGCAAAAAATCCCCTTTTCTTCATCCTCCCTTCTTTTGTTTGTCAATCTCCTTTTTCCCGTAGATTTCTTATTTTTTGGTTGTGCTTATAACCACTTCATTCACTTTGTAACAACTTGATCTTATCCAATATTAACTAAGTCCAATCTATCAAATATTGATTAAGTCAAATACTTCATTTTTTTTTTCTTTTTAATAAAAATAGGATAAAATTTGTTGTTCACAAGTTAAAAAAAGTTTATTTTGATAAGCTTATCAGTAAGTTTTATTAAAATAAATTAAAAAAGTTATACGAAAATCATAAGTTACTTCTGTAAATTTAAATAAATTCTTCCGAAGGATACTTTGGGGCTGTACCAAAAGAAAAGGATACTTTGGTTAATGTCATTTATGATGAAGAACACTTATTCATTTATACACTCTTACATTATAACCAATCTTTTAATTTTAATCACCAGTACAAAACTAGCATTTTACAATAACAACAAATATGAGAATAAATTTTCCCACCATCATATTCCTAGGAATATAAAAAAGATGAGAATTTATGTTGTATAAGAGAATATTTGACAGCAGGTATGCAGACTACGCATCAGAGGGAATTATTTCTGCCAAAGGAGATGTGTACAACTATATGATTATGTTAATGGAAATGTTTTCATAGAAAAAAAGCCTACAGATGATATGTTTGCTGTAGGCTTGACCTTGAAAATTTGGATTAGTAAGTCAATGCCCAATTCAATCATGGAATTTGTGGATTCCAATTTGGTACAACAAAATGAGGATCATATTGGTGACATATTAGCTTACATATATATTTTGAGATTAGCCTTCAATTGTTGCACAGATTCACGTGATACACGATTTAGTATAAACAAAAACTCACTGCATTCGATCAAATGAAAAAAAAATAAAAAAAAAAAATAAATAA